TGGATGAAGCCGAATTTGGTAATGACCATGATGAGTCCATACTTGTTTGCAATGTGGAGTCCAAGCGGGAAGTCATTAGATCCCTCCACCGGCCAGTGCACGGGGATAAGGCGCTTGGGGAAGGCAGGGTTTGCAGGATTATGGTCAACCTCGACGATATTCAGTTTCGCCTCTCCGGAGGCAGTTCGCACAGCAAAAGCGAAGAGTTTGGTGTCGGAAGAAGCGCCCTCGAGACGGATGGTTCCAAATGTCGCCGCGTGGCCCTCAAGAGGCTGGCTGACATTCCGCGCCTTAGAGAAGAGCTGCAGATTGCCGCGAACGCCACCGCCGGGCGCTGATGTGATTCCAACCAAACATGACCAGCTCTCATCGTCATTCACCACATAGTTAATAATTTGGTTGTTCTGAAGATCAGTCAGCGCGGAACCCACAGAAGCGGAGCCATATACAAACCTGGAGATGCTCCTGGCGGTCAAAGACCTTGGTCGGCGTATGCTGCTTTGCCCCTAGAATATCCCAGTGATAAACGCCAGTTGTACCAACGATAGCAAGAGTAGTCTGACTGACCCATCGCCAGAAGACAATATCCTCGTGGTGGGAGTATGTCTGCAGGCGCTCCTTGGTCTCGAGATTGAAAAGCTGTACTGTCCGCGACTGTGCCTTAAGGGCGATTATGGGCTCCGTCAGGTGCATAATGGCACTATCCGCCCGAATCGGCCGCCGGACGACATCGTTCAGATTCTTGAGGTTTACGATGACAGTTTCGCCGGGCTGACCCTCTGCGGTTTGTTGACGCACGCAAACATAGTGGTCCGACTCGAGCGTCTGGGGGCATCGTTAGTGAACAGTTGCAATTGCAAGGGCGTGACAAGGGCGTTACTTACACAGTTCTGCCATGATATTGATGCAGGCTATGTGTTCTGTTAGCTGCTTCCTCCGACCTGAGGTCATAGGCGAGCACAGCGGCGCTGGCGAGAGGACCAACATACGAGGATATTCAGATTCGTCAACTATTGCAAATGTTAGCAATGCGCCCGTGTGAGCGTGATCTTCGCGGAGAAACTTACCTGCACAGGCTGCTGGACATTCAATGGAATGCGCTGCTGGGCCATGATTGCGACTGGACCAGCTCCGACCTCACCGGCGGGTGGGAGAACGGGCTACGGAAGGGTATCGTGGAAACGACAAGGCAGAATTAGACCCAGATGCAGAACGCCGAAAGCGCGCAAAAGGAAATGAGAGAGTGTTGGTCGGGGGTGGGTGGATGGTGGTGGTTAGGGTGCGGTAGGAGTTGTTTTCTTGTAAAGGAGCTCCGACCTGGAGACCTAATTCGTACGTGGAAGTAAGCCAAGGACCAGCCACGTGATTCTTGGCGCGGATCGACTTCAGCAGGGGCTCGGGCGTGCACGTGCCTGCCCTATCTCATCACCGCAAGATCTCTCGGCTACTTCTCTTGCGCATGGCGTTAGACATAATTATGGCCTGTCCGTAATTTGCTTACATTCGGCGTGGGTGCCGTACAGGTCACATGCCTTCCAACATTTCGTCCCTGTCTAATTCCCAGGCCAGCCCTGCTTAACCTCAGCTTTCGATGTGAGTAAGCAGGCGCGTGTCCGCACTCAGGGGGCGGCGATTTGCAGAGCCTTAAGACGGGAGATCGAGCCTCGTTGCAACCACCTGCTATATCTCTAGATTTGATAGGTTGCTGTATAGATGATGCGCAACATGTGAACTAGCTCGTTCATCCTCGAGGCTACTTATGGAAGGCCTCGAGACGTGTCCTTCGTGTCGCTTACCTATCACATACGCAGAAGAATGATGTTTCCCTTATAATATATTTTGCTACGCACCCGACGATGAATAGTTAGTTAGAAATATATTTCAAGTTTGATGTGCTCTATCTGGACTGGTTCCTAGGAGGAATGGTGGAAGGGTATCGAATTCTTAGAATGAGTGGTGTAGAAATAAGCCGCATTTGAACTAGCTGTCTATTGTAACAAGAAATCTCCATTACCACTCTTTTATCCGCACCTACAGCTACTTTGCTAGAGACATTGTACATTTAATATTTAATATTTAATATACTGCTGACAACCTCTCGCTCAAGTGGAGAAATGAAAGGCTTCAACAACTATACAATTCCCAAACCTTGGAATTAAGATGGAAAAATGCTAGCTCCCGGTTTGTAATTTATATGAAGATGCAGTAGTGGCTACGCTCGCCATTCTACCCCTAGACGAAGGTCGCTATGGAGTACAAGTCCCGGTAGCACTTGAAAACATGTCCTGGTTGATAATTCAATGTATTAGCCGCACTAAGTCTTGGACTTGGGCTCCAAGATCGTTCGATTGGATACCCCTCAAACTCGCAGACATAACATAATGTGATAATTAGGTATAGAAACCAAAAAAGCATTGCGATACACATGTGACTCTAACTCATGGCGGCTAGATTTGAAGCGCCGACTACTACACATATGATTTACCTGGCAACTTTAGTCGAACTGAGGCTTCGGCACTGGAGTGCGTTACGACTGCGGATAGTGAATTGCTCGATACCAAGAGGGCACTCGAATATCTAGCATTATTATTTTAGAAGGACAACCGCATCGACTTCGCGACCATCTTTTACCCAAAAGGGCGTCATCTTCTAGAAGGCCGCCGCCACTGCAGGATGTGCAGCTGATTGGGCAGCAACGAGAACAATAATTTTCAGTGCGTGCCCAGTGCCCAGTACCACCGGAAGCGATAGGGCAGGAGCGCCGAGCCCCCAGTCGGTAGGAGCAGGAGAGACCCAGAACCCGAACCTTTGTCCTGCGACGCCAACGCGGTCTCTTCGTCTCCGTAATTTGGCTCTCGCACTCACTTCCCTTCACCCACACACACAAGACAACACGCGGAATTCGGCGCGCCAGACGGACGACGCCTGTACGCGCACATCCTCCTACCAATTCTCAGCGACTGTAGACGCCTTACAGTTTCCAACCGCAACCATGGCGCCTTCGAAGTGGGGTACGTCATACTCCTGTCTCCTATCGCTGTGCGAAACGACACGGGGCGATACCAACGTATCGCTCGTCAAACGCAACCGGCACGACCCTCCATCTATTGCGATCTTCATACTAACATCTCACTCTGTAGACGAAGAAGACGACGATAGCACCCCGCCCTCCTCCCCCCCGGCACCTATCGCCCGCCGCAGCAAGTTCGACGACGAGGAGGAAGACGACGACGATGTACGCCCGCACACTATTCCCCTTCCCACATTTGAATTCTGTAGCGACAGTGCTGACTTGGTCTTCACAGGTGCTGGAATCGTGGGACGCCGCTGAGGACTCTGAGGTCGAGCGTGAGAAGGCAAAGAAGGCTGAGGAGGCCCAACTGAAAGCGGAGGCCGAGAAGAAGGCTAACCACAAGACGAAGTCGCAACGCATCGAGGAGCGGAGACAGGAGAATCTGCGCCGCCGGCAGATGGAGGATGAGGCTTCCTCTGACGAGGAGGAGGACGAAGCCACTCGCCGCGCGCGCCTTAGGAAGACGGAGCAGGACGCAGACCTGCGACACGCCGAGGACCTGTTCGGCGACATGGGCATCTCCAACAAGCGCAGTGCCGCGAAACCCGTCACAATAACAGACGGCGACGATCCGACTAAGGCCATTGACCTTAGCGCCCTAGGCATCTTCAGCCCCAACACCAAGGACCAGTTCCTCAAGCTCCGTGAGACCCTCGCCCCGCTCCTTGTCGCAAACTCCAAAAAGGCTCACTACGTCCTGTTCTTGCAAGAGTTCACCAAGCAGATCTGCAAGGAGCTGCCTAGCGACCAGGTCAAGAAAATCGCGAGTGGTCTGACGACGCTCAGCAACGAGAAGATGAAGGAGGAGAAGGCTGCCGAGAAGGGCGGCAAGAAGACCAAGGCTGCGAAGACAAAAACTAGCCTGGTCGCGTCGCGGGATGTCAGCTACAAGGCGGACACAGCTGCTTATGATGATGACTTTGGAGAGTGAGTCCCCCGCATATTATAGCTTATATGGGATATGTGCTAATGCTGCGCAGTGATGATTTCATGTGAGCCTTGAGAGCATTTGGACCTGTATCCTCAGCATAGACTTGGGCATTTCTAAGCGAATACCCCTATCCCACTGCCCGCCGCAACCGGCACTCAACCCATAGACCTATCATCACTCCATTCGCCTCCTACGGAGCTTCGAAACCATATAAAAGTTCATCTACCGAGACTTATCTCCTCAATCTGGGTTATTTTACTTGCTCGGCGTTGGGATACTTCTGTCCTTTCTCATTTGCGGCCTTGAGTTGTCTTGCCTTGCATTCTCCCTTTTCCTTGCATGTTCCCTTTGTTGTTACCTTTGTACGAAGTTAGGGTATAAGGGGATTATGCATTTGGTCGGTGGGGATGGATTGATACGGAATGGATATGATGGTATGAATAGACTGGTTTTAATGATGGGGTAGATAGAAGTCTTAACTTATCACTTCATATTGTCTTGTACCTTGGCTTGTACCATGTTTGGGTGATTGTATGCAAATCAATGACTGATGTGTCCAAGTACAGTTTCTAGCATTGGACATGCTGCGAGATGGGAGTGAACACATGGCCCGCAATTTGTTGTAATTAGGTCGTCAACCTGCTTCGCTAATATGGTCTACACTCCGATTCGACGCTTGGTGTAAGGATGGAAAAGTCATGCACATCACCTAATGCATTAAGGAACCTACATACACTTCCTGAATAATATCACGTCGAGTGCCGTACCTTTATGGCTTATCTTCATACTCATTCTTGAAAAAAAAAAAAAAGAAAGAAAAAGGCCACGCTCGATCAACGCTCTCGCTCCTAACTTCAAATACGTAATGTCTTGTCTTCATCTAATCACGCCGAGCCGACCGGCCTTTTTTATTGTTAAAATAAAAGTTATTCAGGCCCCAAAAACTACTGCTTTGGGTGCAGTCCCTTCTCAATAGGAATCCAGCCATTGATTAACTGCATTGTCCGGGAGTCGAACCCGAGCCATTTGCTCGCCGTTCTGAAGTGATGGAAGGCAAATATCCTACCGCTGGACCAACAATGCTTTTAATTTCTAGCATTGACGGATTTTTTAAATACTATATAAAAAATTTGCTTTGAAGACCAATAACGAAATAGAAGAGCAAGGGATTCGGGATGACGATGTAGGTAGAAAGGAAAGAATTTGGCGGGGCGAAGTGGGGAGGGGAAGGACGGATGGCGATTGGCGGGGTGTTGGCGGGGATAAAGAGGCGATATGTATCACTATCTCGATTCGCTAGCGAGGGACGGGGATTTGTTAGAATGGGGGGAGAATGGGATATGTCTGGATGTGCAAGGTTCTGACTATATATCTCGAGGTACAGAATATGAAGAGGGCTGAGGGCTGTTAGGATGATGGGTTATGGGCACTTGATGCTTGAATGGATGGGTTAGTGGTCAAGCTGTGTGACGACTGTCCTTTGCGTTGAAATCGGCTAGTGTGTATGGTACTAGACTATGATAACGCGAAGTTGTATTGAATTAAATGTGGTATGCTAGTCTCAAGTGTCTCCCGCATTGCTGCAACATTGACACTTTTATCGTATCTCGCGTGTGCAAAGCATTTAGGACTGCCTTTTTTCTATTTCCTGGACGAGATACATCACATAGAAGGCCTGGCCGTAAGGACAAAAGCATAGTGGCTCCGGATTGATGCCGCGTGAATGAAAAATAATAAGAAGAGGTAGAAGAGCCAATAAAGGAATTAGGAATGAAGCTCCGGTTCATTTAGGACGACTGTTTAGACTGCTGGTCGTTGTAAAGGACGAACAGATCTCTCCACAGCATAAATGGAGATAGTCTGATGGAGATGGAGAATTTGAAGAACATCATGATAATGAGGCTAAGGGCTCTAAATTGAAGTGGCTTAGCAAGTAGGTCGTAATGGCATGTCGCGATAGTTGGCGTTTGCCGTTTGAGGTTGCATGAGAGCTTCGCCACATTTGTCCTCCGATCGAAGCCCAAGGAACCTTACTCGCCTCGGGCGCATAGAAACTGAATGCTGTGCCACATATTATGGAATAGGGCTGAGGGATGATCATTTCGGATGCATTCATGCCCGGTGTCTACAACCGAACTGATCTGCTTGGTGGAATTTTTATAAGGAACGATAATTGCAGAGCGATCAATTGGTCAATCATAATAGTGCTTAAAGCCGACGAAAATGTCCTGAAGATCAGTGGGTGGGGCGAGCCGTTGCCTTTTCCGGCGTGTAGTGAAGGAGAATAGGATTTGAGACTCCCTGGAGAGCCCACAGCGGGAGAACCGCAGATCTGGGCCGATGGAGTGGGTCGAGACCGAAGGGATTTGGAAGTCGTGAATCGGATTCTACTGAAGGTTGAAGTGGGAATTTAGAAATCCGGCGCAACCTGGATTCCACCTGCTATTTGCAACTCTTGGGCGCAATCCTGTCCAAGTGAAATTATATGGAACGCCACAAACTCACATAGTAAGTACCACACCAATCCAACATTCCAAATAGCAGATTCAAGAGCGTTGCTCGGCCCTTGAACTTGATCAAGCAGCAAGTCCGAGATTCTGCAGTGTGATTTTAAATGTCGACGGCCTGGACAGAAGACGACTGTAACACTGTCTTTAGAACCCTGCCAACATCAGTTTATATGAAGCGCCACACAGGAGCCATAGACACGTGGACGCATTTGTCGAATAAATCAGACCCTAGAGGCGGGAAAGCTGCAATTCATATGCGCCTGCAAGCGGCTCCCAGGCCCCAATTATCCAGACGGAAGGAACCCGCGTTTCCCAAAATAGAGTGATGATCTCCAGGAACAAGTCTCGCGTTGATGGCTTCGGATTCGCAAAAACCGAGTTGATGAGAATAAAAGGGTAGGACAAGACGGTTGAAAGAGGCCCAGTCGGCGACCTCAACGGCCGGAGAGTGTTCCGGCAGCGCGCGGGTACAGCGTTCTGGTAGCTCTTCGCTGCTCGCCTGCAGGTGCAGGTGAGGCGTCACGCGTGTGGCTTGATATTGATCCCGATGAACTTTTTGCGGGGGCCTGATCCGAGACTACGGTAGAAAGAGGAAGGGGATACCTTGCGTGATAGTGCTGAGAGGGCATCTATAATTAGCAGCTTCATGGGATGATTAGAAGAAAAATCTGGGGAGCAGGGTGTAACGTGAGGTGCTAAGGAGTCGGTTGGATGTTTGCGGTTGGGAAAAAAAAAAGAAACGTGCTGCATCACAATGCCGTTTCTGCGAGCCTTCGCGAATGCCGTGACCGTGCCTGACGATCGCTCTTCCGACCATTTATGCGAGGATGGCACGGATGGCACGGATGGCACGAATTGCACGAATGGACCGTTAGTGGGATCAAAAGGGAAAGCGGTGCCGGAGCATCAAGGTCTGTAGGACGGGAATCTAGCGGTGCTGGATAAATAAATGATGGGCGCTGCGGTGGCTGATGGGGGATTTGACTGGGGGTGAGACAGGGAGCGGGTCTGTGAGAGAGGGAGGCACTGGAGGGAGCATGGCGGCCGGCCTCTGGTATGAGACGGTAGCATATCCTTCCGGATGACTTGAAAGCATTTCGCGATGGCCGATCTGAATAATCTTGGTTGATAGCAGGCGAGGGCCGGCTTTCCGTGTCCGGTGAATCCTGAGATGCGTAATGCAGGCCCATGCAGCCCTGAATGGAGGAGAGGGGTGTGGCGTGCGAGCTGATATTAGCCACAGGAATGCGATATGCGGCGCTGGATTATTGGGACGGACGGATGCTTTGGAACCTGGAAGCGGCCATGGTCGATTGGCGCGGGCGACGGGGTTTAACGGGCTGTTATAGCAGCGGCTCTACGACAACATTACGCTCACAGCAAGACGCTGTCCTCTTAAAGGCAGCTGGACAGGGCGGTTGGCTGCTTCGGGCGATGCTCAGTTCTCCTTTGGGGCTCATCCGGCCGAGCGTCGAGGGAGGGGAGGGGAGGGGAGGGTAGACAAGCAAGCAAGTCGGCATGGCGCTGCGCCACCACTGGATGACACTGACCCTGCTGCTGCCATGCTGCCCATTACCATTCTCCCATCCGATGGGGGCGTCTGCAGCTGGGGGGGAGGGGGGAGGGGGGAGGAGGGGAGCGGCTCGTTGAACTGGAATGAACCAGACGCCTCTTGCGCCGGGCTCTGGTCGTTGGACGGGTTCAGATTGCTTTTCTAGTGTGCCCATCTCGATCGCCATCCAACAGGCACGCGTCAGTGGCCGGGAGACAGTGCAGCAGTGCATCGGTGCTCCAGTGCAACATGACGCCTCGGGCCCTTAGTCAGAGGGCTGGTGAACTGGATGGGCGTGCGACGCGGCTACTGTGGCGCTCGTATTGAGCGTGGTGCAACCTCTGGGTCTTTGAGGAGCGCTTGCGCTGGGGGAGGGCGCTGTGAGTGGTGGAGCAGGCCTGCGGTCCCCGCTCAGCAGCACCAGCTCACCCGCCTCTTTTCTGGTCTTGGAAGCTTGAGTCTTGGGTCTTGTCTTTCTGGCACAGCCTTCAGCCCGCTGAGAGTGCCTCGCTGGCTTGCGTCGAGCGCTCCCATGGTTATTCGCCCGCTCAGAAGACGAACTCCCCATCCGCCGCGTGAGGCTGCCCACTCGTGCCGGGCCAAATTGAACTCCCGCCACTGCCACCCTCCCGCTCCCATACTACACAGTAGACCATCACTGCCGTCTCTGCAAACATATCCATCTCCACCGGCCCAGAGCCTCACCGGACGTGCATCAGCGCCGGAGAGCTGCCTGCTGTGCACGCAGAAGGGCCCTTGTTGACGCCCCATTCTAATCCTCGCTAGCACACGGCATCCAGCCACAGGTGCTTTCCAGCCGACCTCGTCATCGGCACCACCAGCCTTTCCAGGCCAGCACCCGCAACCATCTCCTTCACACAGCTCTCTTTCTCTCTATCTCTCTGCGCTCTCCCACGGAATCGCCTATCCGCCACGCCCGTTGCGCAGCGCTCAATCGAACCCCTTTCCCCCGGACGCCCTCCACAGTAGCACGCCCGCACAGTTTCCTGCTGCTGGCACCTGCACCGCGCCGCCGACGATTCGCCCGCTTCAGCTCACAGCCTCACTGACTGTCTTTGACTGCTGGGGCGCCGGCACTGTAGCACACCTCGCCTTGTACGCATCGCAGTAGAGTCGTATCGCGGCCACCGTTTTACCCGAAAGAGATTGGGACAGCCAGACGTTCCATTGCGCGTGCTCGCCGCCCATTTGCATCTGCCATCTGCGCCCCGAGTACCGTGCATCCGTCTGGAGCCTCGAGCGGCAGATCACTTGGCCCGCGCAGCATCTGACATCTTTGCGACTGTCCCAGTACTCCTGGCTTGTGCCGTAAGCTCTGGATCGCCCTCGCGTCGAATTCGCTTGGAGGACTGAGGACTGCTGGCGAACGGCGGATATGAGCCTGGATTGAGGGATCATCTTTGGACGGGAAGGCCAGCATAATAGTGCAATCCGTGATCAGACGCTCGTGCAATATCAAAAGGTGCGTGACAACAATGCGCAGCGCACAACTGCTCCAATCTTCGCGCAGTGATGCCAATCGCTGCCGGCGTTGTAGTTGAGGCGAGCCAACTGTACTTGAATGCACTGACGTGAAGCAAGGAAAGGACGATCGCCCAGAAAACAAAACCCAACTGAAAACTATACCCTCACTTCGCGCTTTCATGGCCGCTTCTACTCGAGCCATCACCCCGACCCATACCGGCCCGTTCTCTGTGCCAAACAGGCCCAGCACACCCGGCTCTAACTCCCACTCTCGAAACAACAACACGACGGGTGCCACCTTTGGAGCGCACCTCACCAAATCACCGCGCACACTGTCTCCGAGGCACTCCCCTCAACCACTGACGGGAGCTGCTGCCATCGCCGACGAGCGCCGCGCACAACAAGAGAAATCACGTCAGACGAGCCCTAATCCTGCCGTGGCTGTCGTCCAGGACTTGCTCGGGAGCAAGCTATCCCCAATGAGCCGACCAAAGGACGGACCACCAGAGCCCGCGCAAATGAGTGCTCCTGTCGAG